CCCGTCACGCTGACTGTGGCCAAGTGTTGGGACCCGAGCCCCCGGAGCTGCTTCACCCTCCCCCCCAGTGAGTCTCATACACACACATATACACACATACACATATACACACTACACACACACTATACACACACACACACTATACACACACACACATACACACATACACACATACACATATACACACTACACACACACTGGTGCATATTCACAGATTCACAGCGTGATCTTCAGAACACTCGTCATGTTTAACAATGAATGACTTTTCCTTTGGACAGTTCTGTGGGATCATCAAGTCACAAACTCATCACACACTCGTCGCACACTCGTCGCACACTCGTCGCACACTCGTCGCACACTCGTCGCACACTCGTCGCACACTCGTCACACACTCGTCGCACACTCGTCGCACACTCGTCACAGACTTGTCCCACACTCGTCGCACACTCGTCACACACTGTACTGTACTACGCCCTGTGTCCTGTATGTGACCTGTGACCTGTGTGTTTGTGTTTGAGGTGAACCTGTCAGACCCATCGACCCGGCGGCCTGGGTCTGTCACACGGCCGCCATGACAGGACGCCTCACCCCCCACTACTGTGAGTACTACAAATACAAATACTACTGTGAGTACTACAAATACAAATACTACTGTGAGTACTACAAATACAAATACTACTGTGAGTACTACAAATACAAATACTACAAATACTACTGTGAGTACTGCAGAACAAGTACTACAAGTACTACTGTGATCACTGTGCTCTGATTGGCTCTGTGGTCTGTGCTGTTTTCTGATTGGCTGTGACTCCTCGCCCCGCTCTGATTGGCTGTGACCCTGGCCCCTGCAGCGGTCCATGAGGAGACCCCTCTGAGCGTCCACAGTGACATCACGGCGGTGGTGGCGGCGATGGCCAATCACAGATCAGGACTCGAGGTCCGAGACCGACTGTGGCTCAAGATCACCATCCCCAACGCCTTCATCGGTGAGTCTGGTTTAGTCCTGGTTTAGTCCCGGTCTGGTCCTGGTTTAGTCCTGGTTTAGTCCTAGTTTGAGTCCCGGTCTGAGTCTTGGTCCGGTCTGTTTCAGGGTCGGACGTGGTGGACTGGTTTAGTCCTGGTTTAGTCCTGGTTTAGTCCCGGTCTGAGTCTTGGTCCGGTCTGTTTCAGGGTCGGACGTGGTGGACTGGTTTAGTCCTGGTTTAGTCCTGGTTTAGTCCCGGTCTGAGTCTTGGTCCGGTCTGTTTCAGGGTCGGACGTGGTGGACTGGTTTAGTCCTGGTTTAGTCCTGGTTTAGTCCCGGTCTGAGTCTTGGTCCGGTCTGTTTCAGGGTCGGACGTGGTGGACTGGTTTAGTCCTGGTTTAGTCCTGGTTTAGTCCCGGTCTGAGTCTTGGTCCGGTCTGTTTCAGGGTCGGACGTGGTGGACTGGTTTAGTCCTGGTTTAGTCCTGGTTTAGTCCCGGTCTGAGTCTTGGTCCGGTCTGTTTCAGGGTCGGACGTGGTGGACTGGTTGCTGCTTCATGTTGAGGGTTTCTGTGATCGTCGTGAAGCTCGTAAATACGCCTCAAACCTGCTGCAGAGCGGCTTCATCAGACACACGGTCAGCAAGGTCTCCTTCTCCGAACAGTGTTACTACAGCTTTGGAGACGTGTGCACAGGTGAGGGGGCGGGGACAGGTGAGGGAGGAGGGAGGGGCACAGGTGAGGAAGGGACAGGTGAGGAGGGGGACAGGTGAGGGAGGAGGAGGGGACAGGTGACCTTTAAAGAGGAGGTTTTGTAACACTGCGCCTCATCACAAACCTGTCTGGAGAGGTTCGAGAGTCCTCCATGCATGTTTGAGTCATCTAGAGATCTCTCTCGGTACAAGGCTACATTTTGAAAACAGTGAAAGGAACATGTTGATCTGAAAATGTGACGTGTGACAGTGAAAACCTCCTGTATCTGACTTTATCTTCTGCTTCTGGTCCGGTTATGATCCTGGTCCTGGTCCTGGTCCTGGTCCTGGTCCAGAGCTGGGTCTTCTGACTGTGGAGGACCCAGAAGAGTCTCGTGTTTCGGAGCCAGAGTCCTGCGCTGTGCCCCACCCCTACAGCGCCCCCCACAGGCTGCAGCCCAACAGAGACGCAGGCAGCCACCACAGCCACGGTGAGACCCGGTTTAGACCCGGTTTAGACCCGGTTTAGACCCGGTTTAGACCCGGTTTAGACCCGGTTTAGACCCGGTTTAGTCCTGGTTCAGTCCTGGTTCAGTTCTGGTTCAGTCCTGGTTCAGTTCTGGTTTGATCCTGTTCCTCTCGTTACAGGAAGTGGGGGTGGGTCAAACTGTAGTGAAAAACACAGAGATGAAGTCGACCAATCAGAGCTCAGAGCGGCTCAGACTCCGCCCCCTGCCTCCAGACAGTCATTCCGATTGGCCGTCGGAAACCCCAGCGAGTTCTTTGTGGACGTCATGTGACCAGAACAAACCAATCAGCTGCAGCCTCCACTGTGCACCGCTTTAAGTCTACTGGACCTGAAAAATACTACTACTACTACTACTACTACTACTGTGTACTCCTGTAGTACTACTACTACTACTGTGTACTCCTGTAGTACTACTACTACTGTGTACTCCTGTAGTACTACTACTACTACTACTGTGTACTCCTGTAGTACTACTACTACTACTGTGTACTCCTGTAGTACTACTACTACTGTGTACTCCTGTAGTACTACTACTACTACTGTGTACTCCTGTAGTACTACTACTACTACTGTGTACTACAACAGGTTTGATTGACAGCGTTGCTAAGCCCCGCCCCCTGTGGAAGCAGCGGTGCAGCTCCTCGCTCCTGATTGGCTCTGTGGTTGCTATGATACGGTGTGTGTGTGTTGTATGTTTATAAATGTGAATATTTCTCACCGTTTCCTCTTGAACTTTTCACGTTTGACTCTGACATTTAGTTTTTTTTCTGATGTGAAGTTTAAAGTTTATTTATTTCATTGAATCACTGCACTTTGTCTGATCAGCTCCTCAAACCATCCACTGTGACGCTTCCACCGGCTCTAGTCCTGCTCTAGTCCTGCTCTAGTCCTGCTCTAGTCCTGCTCTAGTCCTGGTCTAGAGCTGGTTTAGATCTTGGTAAACCTGGACTACATCAGAACTAAACCAGGACTCTTGAGCGCCCCCTGTCTCCTGAACACAGCCGCTGTAAATGTCACGTTTATGTGATGTGCAAAAATGTTTTTACTGAAATAAACTAAAAAAGTGAAAGTGTCACTGACTCGAAGGACTGTGTTTGTCTTAAAGAGCTCAGGTCAAAGAGCTCAGGGTCTGTGTGGGTCTGTGGGTCTGTGTGGGTCTGTGGGTCTGTGGGTCTGTGGGTCTGTGTCTGGTCTGTGTGGGTCTGTGTGGGTCTGTGGGTGTGTGTGGTCTGTGGGTCTGTGTGGGGTCTGTGGGTCTGTGGGTCTGTGTGGGTCTGTGGGTCTGTGGGTCTGTCTGTGTGGGTCTGTGGGTCTGTGTGGTCTGTGTGGGTCTGTGGGTGGGTCTGTGGGTCTGTGGGGTGGGTCTGTGTGGGTCTGTGGGTCTGTGGGTCTGTGGGTCTGTGGGTCTGTGGGTCTGTGTGGGTCTGTGTGGGTCTGTGGGTCTGTGTGGTCTGTGGGTCTGTGGGTCTGTGGGTCTGTGGTCTGTGTGGGTCTGTGTGGGTCTGTGTGGGTCTGTGGGTCTGTGGGTCTGTCTGTGTGTGTGGTCTGTGTGGGTCTGTGTGGGTCTGTGTGGGTCTGTGTGTGGGTCTGTGGGTCTGTGGGTCTGTGTGGGTCTGTGGGTCTGTGTGGTCTGTGGTCTGTGGGTCTGGTGGTCTGTGTGGGTCTGTGTGGGTCTGTGTGGTCTGTGGGTCTGTGTGGTCTGTGGGGTCTGTGGGTCTGTGGGTCTGTCTGTGGGTCTGTGGGTCTGTGGTCTGTCTGTGGGTCTGTGTGGGTCTGTGTGGGTCTGTGTCTGTGGTCTGTGTGGGTCTGTGGGTCTGTGGGGTCTGTGTCTGTGTGGTCTGTGTGGGTCTGTGGGTCTGTGTGTGGGTCTGTGTGGTCTGTGTGGGTCTGTGGGTCTGTGGGTGGGTCTGTGTGTGGTCTGTGGGTCTGTGTGGGTCTGTGTGGGTCTGTGGGTCTGTGGGTCTGTGTGGGTCTGTGGGTCTGTGTGGGTCTGTGGGTCTGTGTGGTCTGTGTGGGTCTGTGTGGTCCCTGACCCCACGTTGAGACCCACTGGTTTAGATCAGGTTCCGCCCAGACAGTCCCGGGTCCGGCCGCAGGAGGCGCCGCTGCACCGAGTCTCTTCCTCCGGATCCAAGAACCAAGAGACTCAGGCCCCGAGACAAACACAGAGACAAACACAGAGACAAACACAGAGACAAACACAGAGACAAACACAGAGACAGAGACAGAGACAGAGCGGCTCCACGGCCCCGGACCCGAGGGACAAAACCCCGGGGGACAGGACGCGGGTCTGGAGCTGCTCCGGGACAGGACGCGGGGACAGGACGCGGGGACAGGACGCGTGCTGCTCTCGGTCACAGACTCTGTCGGTCTGAGCCGCGGCGGAGACAAGCGTGAGACGTCCGTGAGCGCATGCGCAGTGCAGCACGGCGCCACTGCGGGGCTGTAGAGGACACGGAGCCGCGCACGGAGCCGCACAGAGCCGCACCGAGCCGCACAGAGCCGCACCGAGCCGCCGCGGGACCAGGACACAACCTTTATATAACGCGTTTATGTAAGAGTCTGGATCACGCATCGGGCCCGCGTCCCCCGCGTCCCACCGCGTCTCTCCGCGGGCAGTTCGGCTCGGGGACCGCGCGTATTCCGCGCGTATTCCGCGCGTGTATTCCGGTTGTTTGTGTCGGCTCCAGACACGCAGACGGAGACACCGGGACAGAGGCGGAGGATGTGTCCGGGGGACGGCGCCTCTGGCCCGGCCTGAGCTCGGAGCCTGCGCCCGGAGCAGAACAGGTTTAATCACGTCACGTTATGTAACGAAGACGCCGCGATGTACGTGTTTATGTCACCGCACCTTTACCACCCCGACCAGACCCGGTCTAGACCTGGTTTAGTTTTGGTTTAGTCCTGGTTCATCCATGTTCTTCCTCTTATCCAGGATTTCACGTCTTGGAGCTTCAGTCTGAACAGAGACTCCCAGACTTCCTTCACCCCAGACACTTCCTCCAGCTCCTCCAGTGGGACCTGAGGTGTTCCCAGTCCAGTCCAGAGACATCGTCCCTCCAGTGTGTCCTGGGTCTCCTCCTCCTCCTGGTGGGACATGAACACCTCCTGAGGGACACGTCCAGGAGACGTCAGAACAGACGTCCTCCCCTCAGACGCTCCTCTCCACGTGGAGGAGCAGCGGCTCTACTCCGAGCTCCCACCTCTGTCTCTAAGGGAGACGCCCGGACGTCCTGAGGAGGAAACTCATCTGTGTCTCTTGTATCGTGGATCTGGTCCTTCGGGTCATGACCAGAGGTGAGGGGAGGAACATCAGCTCCTCTTCATCACAACGACCGATACAGCGACCACATCACTGCACCTGTCCACCTGTCAATCTGCCCACGCTGCACCTGTCCACCTGTCAATCTGCCCACGCCGCACCTGTCCACCTGTCAATCTGCACACGCCGCACCTGTCCACCTGTCCACCTGTCAATCTGCACACGCCGCACCTGTCCACCTGTCCACCTGTCAATCTGCCCACGCTGCACCTGTCCACCTGTCCACCTGTCAATCTCTCACTCCAGAACAAGACCCTGAGACACTTGAACTCGTCCACTTGAGGCAGAGACTCTCCACCCGCCCAGAGACAAGACACTTTTTCTGGTCCAGAACCTGGACCTCGGGTTTGGAGGATCTGATCTTCATCCAGACGCTTCACACTCGGGTCAAACCGCCCCAGAGCTGCAGGTCCTGGTCTGATGAAGACGACAGGACAACATCATCTGTGAACAGCAGAGATGATCCTGTGGTCCTCAAACCGAACCCTCTGGTTTAGTCCTGGTTTAGTCCTGATTTAGTCCTGGTTTAGTCCTGGTTTAGTCCTGGTTTAATCTGGTCTGAGGACTTGCTTTATCATGTGGGTTTATTCAGACTTTTTAAATCCACTGAAATTAGTGAATTAGTTTACAAAAAGTTGTTTTTTTGTTTTGTTTGTTTTTTAGGAGCAGAGGTCAGAGACGATGGCGCCTCTACAGGAAGTGACATCACTGCTGTGTCGCTGTGGTTTTTTTAGGTTTTGATTTTTGTTTTTTTTCCAACAACAAAATCAAAGCCTAAAGAAAATACAGAGACACAGACTCCTCCCCCTCACCTGGACTCACCTGGACTCACCTGGACTCACCTGGACTCACCTGGACCCACCTGGACCCACCTGGACTCACCTGGACCCACCTGGACTCACCTGGACCCACCTGGACTCACCTGGACTCACCTGGACCCACCTGGACCCACCTGGACTCACCTGGACCCACCTGGACTCACCTGGACCCACCTGGACCCACCTGGACCCACCTGGACTCACCTGGACTCACCTGGACCCACCTGGACCCACCTGGACTCACCTGGACCCACCTGGACTCACCTGGACCCACCTGGACTCACCTGGACCCACCTGGACTCACCTGGACTCACCTGGACTTACAGCAGAGGCAGTAGTAGAAGTATTTGTAGTACTCACAGTACTGGAGTACTCACAGTACTCTAGTACTCGAGTACTCGTGTGTCTCTGGGGGGAGCGTCTCTGGGTCTGTGGACCTTTGGACCCAGAGTCGTTTCGTTCAGAGTCGTTCAGTCGTCGCTTCAGAGAAACACAAGGAGCACCTCATGACATCATCAGGGGGTCACATGTCTGCAGGAAACACACGTCCAGGGTTAAAGCCCCAGTACGGAACATTTCACCACATTTACCCAGCCCCACTGACACAGCTGCACCAACAAGAAGTCCTGGTTTAGTCCTGGTCTAGTCCTGGTTTAGTCCTGGTTTAGTCCTGGTTTAGTCCTGGTCCAGACAAACCTGTTCTGTATAAAACACACTGAGTCTTGTTGTATTATATCGAGTGTTTAGCACTCATGCCTCACAGCAAGAAGGTTGTGGGTTGGATCCCCGGGTCGTCCGGGTCGTCCGGGTCGTCCGGGTCGTCCGGGTCGTCCGGGTCGTCCGGTCGTCCGGGTCTTTCTGTGTTTAGTTTGTGTTTCTCTTCGTGTCTGGATGAGTTTTCTCCATCAACACAAAACCTGCTCCAGGTCCACAACAGTTGATGGTTAAAGGTCAAGTAAATACAACAGTTCAATCATTGTGTCCTTAGGCAAGACACTTCACACACATTGTCTAGTATGAAAGTGGTGTGTGTGTGAGTCTGTGTGTGTATTGTTATGTGCGTATTGTTGTGTGTGTGTGTATTCTTGTGTGTGTATTGTTGTGTGTATTGTTGTGTGTGTATTGTTGTGTGTGTGTGTATTGTTGTGTGTGTATTGTTGTGTGTGTATTGTTGTGT